TCTCAGGTCCCTCGTTTTGCTCCTCAGCATGGCTTCCTAAAAACGCTGCCAGATTTCTCAAACATGCATGAATGAGTCAAAGCAAGACTTTGGGCATGTTTTTATGAGAGTATAACATTATAACATGATATAAAACTCAAAAAAGTTGATTTTACATGATATTGCCCCTTTAAGTAATTTTACAAATACTACGTTCGTATTTGGTGTGGTAGTAGCTGAACGTCGTACTCAACACATTCTCTGAGGGCTAATGTGTTCCTTCAAAACATGCTGAGTCTTTTATAGGAAAATATTACTGCTGTGGTCTTTTCCACAGTGACACTCCTCCCACCCACAAGTCCAGTTAAAGGTTTAATGGCCTAAAAAATGGAGGGAATTATTATGAAACTGTCCATCTTTTGACACATTATTATTAACATTTAATACAAAGCTTGTTATTCTCTACACCAAGCTGGTGATGGTTCATTTTACAGATAATGGTCACACAAAAAGAGGAGAGAAAACAAATATCCAAGAACCAAATTATGGCAGAATTCATTAAAATACAGCATAAATCCTTGTCAGTTTTTTATTATTATTATTATTTTAGGTTAGAGAAGTATTTGATGTGGGACCAATTTCAGAGACAACAGATATGGCAGTAATGTGATTGCTTCTGTCATCATGATTCAACAGATTACACATTTAATCAGGGAAGAGAGAATATAATTTGCACAGATTATAGAGCGGTGAACCCCTGATGCTGGTTGGAACGGGGCTGTTTTACAGTTAAGATGATCCACAGATGGATGGATGGAGGGACAAAAAGACAAGAGAGTGGGAGGGAGAGAAAAGCCACCTGGTTCAATCCATGATATAGAGAAAAATAATAAAAATTTCCTCCAACTGTTTGCTGATAATTCATTTTTTCCTCAACAACGGGATGAAAAGATGCATAAAATGTGGGCATAAAAACATCATGTTTCTAATGCACATTTCACCATACAGGCTACTGGAATGCAGAATACATGAGACATGATTGCAAAGGAAGTGGGGCTATATACAATGAAATTAAAGAGAGTCAGTTGCAGTAATATCCCTGGGGTATACAGCTAGTTGTTTTATGGGGGGAGATAAGAGGATTTCGTCAGTTTGAGATGCTGGCTAATGCTATTGTTTCTCCTGGGAGCACAAAAGAGCAAAGACACTTTTCACACATCTTTTCTTCTTTTGTAGTGCTCTTACTGTAGATATGATTTCAAAAGCACAAGGTGAAAAACATTAGAATATTGCATTATCTGCAGGAACTATTTTATTACTTTCTTCATAAAATATATGAGAACCCGTGAATCCATATTTTAAAAGACATTTGGAAGAATAAACTGTCAGTTTTACATTTTAAATGCGTCTCATTCTTGCCCTGCTCCTGATTCCCGCATCTCGTTGGAAAACACCCACTTATGCACACAAAAATGTTGCTGCATTTTCCTAAATGATCTCTAAGAGGTGGTTTAGTTGAAAGATGTGAACAAATTTGTTTAAAGGGCTGCGTAATGCTGCCTTCTCTCTCACTGAAATATTCCACCTGATGTTCTCTACCTGCATTTCTAATGCTTCCAATAACGCAACTTTATTTTTTTCTATATAAACAAGCTTACCTGTTTATCTTGAACCATTAAAAAAGCTAGACTCATAAGTCAATCCCAGCACTTGAACTCTCACATTTCCATTCAAAGCTGGTTAATAACTGTCACCAAAACACCTCAGCAGTCATTTTACCTATTTTTTAAGCGAATCTTTTTTTTTAATGTTCCATCAAGCAACTCTTTTGGGTGACAAAGCTTCTGCCCCCGTCAGCTAGTTAGTGTTTGACACTTCGCTTTGTCACCTGATTCAAGTGACATCACTCTGCTCATCAGACTTGTTTGCAGTGGTTCAAGCCAATATTTTAAAAATAACAGATTAAAAGAAAAGAAAAAACTGGGATGGCTACTTTTTAAATCAACACAGCGAGTGCGTTATAAAAAGTGGAGTTTATCAGATTGACAGAGATGGAAAGATGCATAAAACAAAGTACTTGCATTTAGAGGTGAGAATGCAGAAGAAGTGGGATTTATAGTGAAAAGTCAAATTTTTTGGTTGCTTTTTTATTTCACTGAGGCCAAAAGAACCCTGGTCACACAGAGGGTGTGTTTCTGCTGGGAGATTCAGCTTTTTATTCTCAGCTTTATTCTGCATCTTTAGGTCCAGATATCAAGAATGCACCTGTGGTTAACTATATCAAGGTGATCTTAGAGAGAAAAAAAAACTTTAGCATGCAGCAGGAAGACACTCACAGCAACACACACACATGCAGGCGCGCGCGCAGCCTCAGCAGTCACACCAGGCGCGCAAACTGTTTGCCATGAAAACGATGGCGAGATAATAAAACAAGCCAGGGGCGAGATCAACTTCTGAAGAAAAATTAGAGGAAGTTGCTGGAAGGGCAAGCAGATAAATGGATAAGGAGAGCTGCTTAGCTGGGAGTGAAAAGGAAGCGCTCAGGCAGCACAAATCTACACTTTGGAAGCAGGGACGCACTTTCTCTCTTCTTTTTTTCTCTTAGATTGAAAAGAAAAAAGCTTCAAAACACACATATAGTGGCTTATTTTGTTTCCTAAAAGCTGTTATTGATAAAAATCTACTTTAAATCAAGTTTGAATGCTCTGTAAGGACTAAAATGCTGATCATATGGAAAGCTGTGAAACATGTAAAGCAAATAAAGACTTGATGTCTAAATATAGTTGTTTTTTTTTCTTTCTTGAGCAGCTCACCTTGTGCAGGATCCACTGGCAGAAGAGGACTGTGGTCCAGCCGAGAACCTGCATGTCACCTTCCAGAGAGAGGACCACCCCGAAAATCTACGCGTCTCCTCGGCTGAACATAAAAAGACACGCCGCTGAGTCCAAGCAATCCCAAGTCGACCAAAGTGTCAAAGGAGCGGCGGGGGGGAAAAAAAACTTTCACTTTTCCTTGCTTTCTTTTTTTTTTCTGTCAGGTGTCACGGAGGTCTTTGCCAGCAGAGAAAAAAAACTTTAAAGAGCGGTGTTTTCAGTTTCTCTGGTCCGCCTCATGTGGCGCGTTCGCGGGTCTTTCCTCCGCTGGACATGGTGCTGCAGCGTAAAGTTTGCGCGCAGTCGGAGCAGGTCGGTTCTCCAGGTGGACGGTTTGAAGACTGTAGGCGCGCTTCTTGTTGGCTGCTTGATTCTGAGAGCTGTGATGTGTCGCACCTCCGCTCCTTCCCCCTGCCTCCCCTGCCCTCCCTCTCTGCGCTCTCAGCTGCTCTCCTCTTGGAAACCACATCAACCACAACTGCATGATGAGGAGGAGGATGTCCTGTTTGTGTTCTGATGGAGAGGTGATTATTTACTCTCCTCCACGTGTGATCAGACAGAATGTGAGGGATGCAGATCACGTGTTGCTTTAAAAACATTTGTTTCCAGGTTCACAGTTCTTGTCTTAAAAATGACTGACAGGACAAACCTGTTATATTGTCCTTACTTATAACTCTCACTGCATTTTTTAAAAACAAGGATAATCTATTTTCTCCCATTTAATGATCACCTCTTGGGTTTATAGGCTACACCTGTTTGGCTATACAGTTTATAGTTCACATCACATTAAAGACAAATCCAGATTTGTGTTGAAGTGCAAATGATGGCTTAATGTGTGACGTTTGGTTTCACTGCAATAAACTCAAATCAAAACTGTTCTAAAGACACAACAGCATCTAAAGAAACCCTAAAAAACATGTTTAACACAAACATAAACACACTTGCATTTTTTCCTTTTATTGTGATGCATTGAAATTGGTGCATTCATGTCCAAAACTCCATGTTTTTCCCCCCCACTCAGCACACTGGTTAGTTTTGGAATGAAACAAACTTTTCTTAAAAGAAAAAAATGTAGTTTTATAAGGGATGGGAGGTTATTATAGCACAACATATTTTCCTGGCAATGGAAAACAACAACCTGTTACTGCAAAATGTTCAGTTTTACAAAGCATATGTACAAATTAATGAAAAGTCAAAAGTCTAAAACCTGCAGCGGCCAAAAGGATGTGCAAAAAAGTATTAGTGAAGAGAGCAAATAATCCCATCGGATTTGTAGATATTTGAACAATATGGAACTTTTTTTCTCCCAGTACCCTTTGATTATATATACAAGTGACTCACTGGCATTAAGGGTTAGATTTATTTAACAAGTTCTGTCAGCTGGTTCAACTACACCAAGATGAGTAAAAGTAAAGCAATATTTTCTCTAAAAGAAATTTAGTAAATCATAAACTCAGTAAATTCAACACTTCATTTTTTGGAGCGTATTCTGAATCAATAACTGTGGATCCCAAAAAAAGTTGCAGAAAACCTGCTGTACTTCAGTTAAAGCTCAGAAAAAGAAACGGAAAAGAAAGAACTTGACCGTGTGCAGTGGATGCCGTGAGCTACACAAACTGTAAACTCCCATAAAAACTGTTTTTAAATATTAATGTTGCATCATGGAAATATTGGGGCAGCGTCCCTCATGGCGAGTCCCAGCTGCTGACTGCTGGATCCCACTTCCTTTAAAGTAACCAAAGTGGGACGAACAGTTTTTTCTTGCCCATCCTGCATGTTTAATTGAACATCAGTGTCTTATAGGAAATTCAGTGTTTTATGACTCAATGTTGGACTGCTCCTCTGTCCCAGACTATGAAACGTCTCTTTATCCATTTCTTTTTTTGTCTGCTTTTCTGTCTTTAGTTATGGCCTCCCAATGTTGAAGTCCCCAACTTCTCATCTCTCTCCTAAGTAAACCTTCAGCTCTGTGGCTCCAGTCTGTAGAAAACGGGCTCTTTGTGATGATTCAGTGAGTCTCATCAGAGCGTGAACGGCCCAGCACTGCCTCCCCGCGAGCCGAGGACTCACTGCACACTGGGACGAACAAAAGCACAGAGAGGACTCAACAGAGCTCTCTGCTTTCACAAGGGAGGGACAGAGTGGGAGACAGATCAAGATGGATCAGGATTGTTTCAGTTGGACACGCCAGCACATTTCTGCGTGTCCAAGAAGCAACTGTCCCTGCTGTTGTTTCTAATGATGGATATGTTAGAGTAAAATTTATTACAGTCTTGTTTGAGCCAAAGAAATTGTTTTAAATAAACTGGCAAGAAATGATATTCAGCATCTCACATCAAACCCTGCATCTTCTCCACAGGAAGCTACACCTGGAAATTAAAATGTGCTGATGTGCAGTGAAATATCACATTTACATTCCTCAAATACTGACTGTGTATGTACTCAGGGGGAGTAAACCTGCAACAGAGTTGACATTTATATACTTTTTATTGGTAATGCTCTGTTTTAGAAAAATGAGTCACACAAATATAATAAAAACATTTACTTTCATCAGTTTTCACCACTGTTTACTTTTGGCTACAGCAGAAGTTTAATTAAAATGGGATGCTTCCCTAAATTTGGGCAAAGCAAAGAGTTGTTGCCTCACTCCAAACAAAAAATGAAAATGAAAACCTTCAAAATGAAGTCAGGAAAAAACAAACCCAAAATACAGAGACGGTCAGGTGTTGGGTTAGACAAACATGATGTAATATCTAGACGAGGATCCAACGAAGAAAACCTAAATGACAATTAAATAGGAGATAAAAGGTGATAGAATACAGGTGTGGATGTTACAACCTAGTATGTGGTGTGGGATGACAACAGAGAGGCAGTGCTTCATTATACTCATTTCACACATTAGCAGGGCTGGCTCTAGCCAACTTGGCGCCCTAGGCAAGATTTTAGATGGCGCCCCCTTTAGCAATTTTAAAAATGTCACTACCAATTCAAAAACAATCACATACCAAATTACCATTACCATTACCAGTTTTGAAGCCTAAAGTCAAACTGGAAAACTCTCTTTAGTCTCATTTGCATCATCCGGTCACTGCATCACGTGCTTCTGATGCAGCCTATTAACGGCGGACAAGTCGTTCTTAAATCATGGCTTCATCTGCTCACCAGCCGAGCTTCAACCACCTCTTCTCCACCCTCGTTCTCTCACCACCTTCAGGCTTCCTTTCTTTCTTTGGTCTCCACCACCAGTGTCCGGGCCTTCCCAGGGATAAGACGTCTCTGTTCCTCATCCTAAGCTGCTCATCCAGGTTTATCGCAATTCACAGCGCCCACGTCTTCTGCCGGGGTCTGAGTGCCAAAACTTTGTTTCATGTCAAATAAAACGTCATAGTTGCAGCTTTTCTTTGTGTGAATCTCTTCAGGTTGAATTGTCTTTTAAATCCTTTTTTTAAATTTAGAAACCAGGTGTCCAGTTAAAATGGTTAACAATATAATTCATTTGAAACAGAACACCAGTCTAACATATACCTGCCAACATCTGCTGATGCAATGAGGAACATCTGTTCATGTTAACTAGCAGCTGTGGACTGAAGCAGTTCTAGGGTGGGGGGTCGAGGGGTAACTCCTCAAAAGTTTTATAAAAGATCTAGTGAAAACGATGCATTTTCCAGCCATTCGAAGATCATTTAACTAAATTCTTGGGACTAATAAAACATCATAAAATCAGTATATTATGAAGGTAGAACACTAAAAACCAGACTTTAACCCAAACTTTACCTGAGATCATAACTGAAACTTCCATTATTTTGTTTTCTATTTACACACCAAGCACCAGTAGTTATTCTTGACTGACTGATACTTTTATCACAAAACATCCTCTGCACCAGCAGGCTGAGAAACCCACAGAATAAGTGGTAACCCTTTCCTTTACAGTACCCTAATTACCATGCAATTTACCTAATATTTACATGCTAAATAATAACATTTTACTATGCAGTTACTTAGTAATTACAATAATTTACAATGTAATTACTTGGTAAGAAATATGTTTTTATTTGTTTGCATTCTTTTTTTGTTAATAATATATAATTGAGGTACTATTGAACAGTAATTTGCTTGTAGTTACCCAATAAAAGTAGTTTTAGTAGTTTACTGGTAATGGCATGGTAATTAGGGACTATATATATATATACATATATATTATGTAGGAATTTAGTTGGAAGGTTATTGGTAAATGCTGGGTAATTAATGTGGTATTAGGATTAGTAAATTAGCTTATATACATAGTAATTTTCTAAGTATACACTTTATAGTAACATGGTGATTAGATGACTGTAAAAAGAAAGTTGGCTATTTTTTGGCAAATAGTGGGTAATTGAGATACTACTGAACTGTAATTGTAACAGAATTACCCACTAAAATTAGTTTAGTTACACTGTAGTTTTACATGTTCTTACCAAGTAATTACATGGTAAATTACTGTAATAACCAAGTAATTGTACAGTAAAATGATATACTTAAAATGTAAATGCTAAATAATTGAATGGTAATTAGGAGGCTGTAAAATAAAGGGTTACAGAATAAGTTACCCTTGTAAACCTGAGTAACCAGTGATTATTCTACCAACTAAATCAACTGTACGCTGATAAAAAGTTATAAAAAATTTGTCCCTCACTTGTGGCACCCCCTAGATGGACGGCACCCTTAGCATTTGCCTTTACTGCCTATGTCAGGGGCCAGCCCTGAACATTAGATAAAGTTTGTAGTTTGACTTGTGTGACCCTTGTAGCTGCTGCAAATTGGTGTGTTACATTCATTTCTTCATCTTTAGCAGAGCATATCAAACACAGCAGGTTTCAAAGAATGTGATTCTTTCCCATTTCTGTCACTGACCTCCTTTCACTCTACTGTCTGTGATTTATATGGCCACAACACGCTCTGTCCTTTTTCTCCTAATTTTTCTCCCCCCCACTCCTGGATAGAGGTTGCTGGTGTGAGTGCAATTTCTGATCCACATTGGAAGTGGCAGGTGAATTTCGCCCAGCTGCTCCCCGTCTCTGTTCCACTTAGCAGCTACACACTATATTCTGAGTCTCCCAGTCGCTGCGTGGTTATAGCAAATGAATGAACATGCTCTGAGCAGGAGCCGAGCGCATCTACTTTCACAAATATCATCCTCATATCATTATTCCTCCTTTGCCTCCTAAAATGTCAGGAGAAAGTTTCATCATTTCCAAACAAAAAAAAAATGCACGCCTGAAGGCTGCTCGCGTCCATCATCTTGGTGTTTGCAAACAAATGAACAGGTACTGTATGTGACACAAAAAAACAATAAACTACAGCGAAGACTAAAATTGCACACATTTTAGTATTAATGTGATATGATGTATTGAGCTAAAAGCATGTGGAGGAAGAGGAGAGAGTGCTCAAGAA